GCATCGCTCAAGTTGAAAGAAATGAAGAAAAAATTCAAGCCTTGCATTGCAATATTGAAGGATTCTGGGGGCAAAATATTGAACTATGCAGGAAGCATCAAAAGAAATGGAAGAAATATAGACAGTCACTGTACCAAAAAGAATTAGCTGACATTCAGCCATTTTATGAGTTAGCATATGATCAAGAGCCAAGGGTATTGAAAGAAGAAGTCCAAGCTGCAGTAAAGGCATTGGCGAAAAACAAGTCTACAGCAATTGACAGAATACCAGTTGAGATATTTCAACAAATGGATGCAATGTTGGAGGCGCTCTCATCTATGCCAAGAAATTTGGAAGACAGCTCCCTGGCCAACCTACTGGAAAAGATCCATCTTTGTGCCCATTTCAAAGAAAGGTGATCCAACAGAATGTGGAAATGATTGAACAATATCATTAATACCACATGCAAGTAAAGTTTTACTGAAGATAATTCCAAAAGTGTTTGCAGCAGTACATTGACAGGGAATTGCCAGAAATTCAAGATGAATTCAGAAGAGGACATGGAATGAGGGATATCATTGCTGATGTCCTACTTGACTGAAGCAGAGAATATCAGAAAGATGTTAACCTGTGTTTTATTGAGTATGCAAAGGCATTTGGTTATATGGATTATAACAAATTATGGGTAACATTGGGAAGAATAGGAATTCTACAACACTAAATTGTGCTCATGCGGCACCTGTTCATAGACCAAGAGGCAGTAGTTCAAACAGAACAAGGGGATACTGCGTGGTTCAAAATCAGGAAACGTGCGTATCTTGGTTGTATCGTTTCACCATACTTATTCAATCTGTATGCTGAGCAAGTAATCCAAGAAGCTGGACTATATGAAGAAGAAAATGGCATCAGGATTGAAGGAAGACTCATTAATATCCTGTGTTATGCAGATGACACAACGTCACTTGCTGAAAGTGAAGAGGACTTGAAGCACCTACTGATGAAGATCAAAGACTACAGCCTTCAGGATGGATTACAGCTCAACATAAAGAAAACAAAAATCCTCACAACTGGACCAATAAGCAACGTTATGGTAAACAGTAAAAATATTGAAGGTGTCACGAATTTCATTTTATTTGGATCCACAATCAACACCCAAGGAAGCAGCAGTGAAGAAATCAAATGATGCTATTTCACTGGGCTGAAGTTTAAAAACTTGCAAGTAGCCATCTAAGATACAACTATGGGTCTCTTCCCAACTGGAGCAAAGGAGAATGAAGGAAACTAAAGACCCAAGGGAAAAATTAGTCCACAGGACTAATGGACCATGAGAACCACAGCCTCTTCTAGCCTGAAACCAGACCTAGATGATGTGCGGCTACCACTACC